CATTCTACTCTTCCTAAGACAAGAGCCAGAGGTAGCGCACCTCGCATCAACCTACCTGCGTTGGGTCTCCCTCGGGCTGCCCGGTATGGGAATTTACTTTTTCACCGACTCTATTCTTACATGCTTTTTAAGCTTATGCATTTAACTGTATCAGTCGGTACTTACACCCGTTTATCCGCTGTTTTGATTGTTCCTAACCCGCAATCCTTAGTCGCTATTTTCAGTCACAAGGCGTGTTCCGCTTCTTGTGATCAGGATCACCCAAGATTGCTCATGACTCTCTTATAACAGGGTTGTTCACAGTCCCCACTCGCATTATCTTCATTGTAGCACCTTTCAATGCTGTCTTGAACTATCTCCTTGGTAAACTCCTCCTCTTTCGCTTCGCAACGTCATCTAACCGATCTACACAGTTTGGGGTCCCAAACCATTCAGATTAGGCTTCATCGGCGCCCCACTCGCCACCGCGATCTCTTTCAATCTCGTTTCGGTGATGTCAATCATTTATGGTATCTTCTTCGTGGATCGAACGGCGTGGTACCCGCTTTCCAGGAGGATGTTCACAAGCTTGGGAGTCTTAGTCCAGTTAGGCTTGAGTGGTGTCGGTGAGCCTATTGGTTCAATCAACCAACTTCATTCACTGATTTGATCACTCAGGTCAAACGGCATCGGAGTGGTGGGCATGGGAGTTGATTGGTCTCGCCGCGTCTTTGTTAGTATCCGTGGTTTGTCGCAATCCCTCCTTACTGATGCGCCGCCTAGGCTGGGCCCAGTAGCACTTGCCACACAGTCCGTCCTTCTAGTTTCCGCATCGACGACCTTTCAAGCGCCTTTCGCATTGGGAGTTGCCACTTCCGTGCGGTGTGTCCGCTTTTTATTCCGCTCTGTGCTGCGATAGCTGATCCAGATGCATGCAGAATTGGTAACCTCCTCGGGGAACAGAAGGCCAAGCGGGCGGGCATGGCGGCTAAAACCTCTATCATAATGGCACTTTTGCTTTCTATGATCTCAAGGTATGCCGTTCGAGCATTCACTTCTCGCAGCCATTGACAAACCTTTTGTCTTGCTCTTCTAGTGCCATGTTTTTGATATTCCGAAACGTGTGGGGGTACCTTTTCAATAACGATCCAGGTTTGAATTAAGCAGTTCTTTCTATGTGGAAGGAATCTGACTTGGAATTGGGATACAGAGGTCGTTGGTCTGGTGGCATCCATTTTGCCCTTAGTAGCGCTCTTTCAGGTATTCGACGGGAATGCAGCGGTTACGGGAGGGATTCTGAGAGCTAGGGGTAAACAATTCACTGGAGCTTTGTTAAACCTCAGGTAATCTTTCCGGATCTCTTGCACACATACCTCTTGACAAACCTTTTGCAGCGCATACTATATCGTCGGTATTCCTTTCGGCATCTGGCTCGCTTTCTCGTGGGATATGAAGCTACATGGTTTGTGGTATGGGTTGACCATCTCCCTGGTGTACTGCGCTGTACTGGGGACGATCATTTGCCTCCGATCGGACTGGGACCATGAGGTCGATAAGGTCATGAACAGGCTGAAGGCGGAGGATAAGGCACGTCAGGAGGAGACACGCTTGCTTGGTCATGGGCATGGACGTGGAAGTGGTGTGCATGAGGTGTAGGCGACGGTTCGAAAATGAAGCTGAAGGTCAAAACACTCCCTGTTTATTGGGGGATCTTGCTTTTTGTGTCGGTTGGGTAGCTTGGGCTCTATGACGTCTCGGGCGTCAGAAGGTTGGGCGTCTACTCCGGGAATGTCGGCTGTATACCTAGTGGCATACATACACCGCACCTCACCGCACCTGCGCATGTAACTGATGCATTATCTGTCTGTCAAATTGGATTCTTGCGCAATTGGGATTTCGAGTTGGGACATACTCAAAGCTTAAAGCTTCTCCGTAAAGGACGAAGGTCAAACGCTGCGGGGGAAGGTATCTTCAAGCTCAGCCATGTCGAATCAATGCCTCACTCGCCTCTCCTCAAGCCAGTCATTCTCTCAACCTTGGTACTTACTCACAGAAATTAATGGTTTGATCGTGCACATGTGGTTCAATTCTGGTCCGTCAGCCTGAGAAACGTGTGTAACTTTTCGTCATCCATCACACACATTCCCCGTGCTAAGCGCTCTATGGATCTGGGGCAGAATCTCTTTGAGATTTTGCAAAACATACGTAGAGTACAAGAAACACTTTGGAAATCTGTACAGGGGCCCAGGTGAATGAAACAAGTGACAACAGAAACAAAAATACCCGTCAACACACCTCTTCAACCGGCGCATAACTTTCCTAAGCACAATTCATATCGCTCATCGAAGATTTTACTAATGTTTTGTTCTCCTCATGACCCACTATCATCCACGCTTGATTATACCTTGAAAATTTGGACTTCTAGATCTTGTGGACCTCCCAAATCAACTCGAAATCAACCTCGCGGTGAATATATGCGCATTTTTGGCCGTCTAGAAAGGTCCAATTCCGTATGTTTTTCTACAATTTTTCTATCTATGGTCTCAACAAGTACGTAACTTATGGATTTCCAGGGACACGGCTCGCGTCGAGAATTCCGACTTTGGAGCTCCCCCACTCAAAAATCGACACAAGAAGCTTGGCTGTCTATTTATAGAGACCAACCAGACTTGACGCATAAACTGGATTGAATTCCGCATAGAGATGGGAAAATGCTCTGAATCTGCGATGGATCTACGCATTCTGTGTCACTTAAAGACTAGCGCTTGACCCGCTCTCATTAACGTTGTCAACTCGGGACTTGACTAGGAACTCATCGCTTTCCGATCTTGTTGCTGTTTGACCACCATGTCCTCGACCTATGCTTATGACCAAGACCCCCCTTTACCCTCCGACTACGCAGTCCTATCACGCTTTTCCACGACGCACGAAGGGCCCACCGATGATTTGGTATTCCCTGGAGATGATTCAACTACCGTCCGGCGCAGAGGAACCATTCGCTTCTACCCATACCTCCGTCCTCTCGAACCCACTATTGGTATCGATCTTCAAGGAGGCTCCAAAGTCAGCGCTCCACCAAACGAAATTACTCCTCTTATCTCCACCCGCTGGCCGAGTTGAGGAAGTGAGCAGGCACAGATCTGTCGACATTGGCAGCGGTATGGTCATGTTCTGGGAGGAACTTCGCATCCTCATCAAGTACGCGTTGCCAGTCTTTGGGTATGACCACTTCACTATTTCTCAGAACAAGGCAATACTGACGGGTGTGCAACTTCAGAACTCATCTCTTGGAATATTCTCTAGTCATCGTTCCCGTGGTTTCTATTGGACAGTTGTCTACCAACGCCCTTGCGGCAGTTAGCTTGGGATCTATGACCGCTAGTGTCACCGGCTTTACCGTTTTGCAAGGCTTCTCTGGCGTTCTCGACACCATGCTCCCATCCGCTTGGACTTCGCCTCATCCCGAGTTAGTTGGTCTTTGGTCCCAACGTATGAGTG